AATTATACCTCCATCCATCGGAACCCGGACCATGAGAGGAGAACAATAACAAGGCCGGCTGAGCAAGGCGATATCATAGACGAAATAACAAGCTCAATCTCCACCGACCGGAAAATCAATATTCTGCTCGTTCGGAACTTCGACATCTGACTTCCGCGGAGATTCCGAGGAATGCGCTTTCCAGAGCCTCCCATTGTTTGCGGAACAGGCTCGCGTGGGATCTTCACATCATGCACCGAGCCGATTCCTTGTTGGCAACTGGCAACACGATCCGCCCTCCAGCTCTGTCACGCAAAGCTAAACCCGAGGGCGGCGAGCGAATCTGGGAACTTGGGCATTGTTGAAAGTAGAGCGGTTTAACTCGTTTGGATCTTAATCGGAAGTTTCCTCGCTCGGAGCTTATGCTTCGAATATTTGGGTCAGGATCGCGCCCGTCCCGAGCACAGCATGGCATTTCAGTCCGTTGACAAGGGATCGCGGAGGCTGTGAGCAACAAGAAAAGCCGCACGCTCCCCGAAAGAAAAGGCGATGATTCGTTCCGGAAAGTCACGCAGAGCTGATCATTAAGCGAGCGATGGAGCTGTTTACTATTCCCCCCGGGTATGTCCGCGCGCTTTCGGTGTTCCCCAGTAGTTTTGCAGCCCATCGAACTGAATCATTAGGGTTGAGCGTTATTCCTTTGTGCGCCCTCTGAAAAACGATGCGCGTGAATTTAGACATCCCCAGACCGGTTTTCACTTGTCCGAGCAATGTGAATCGAGCGCTCGCCTTCAGCACATGCCCCTCTGCAGTATCACGAGCATCCTCACAGAATTCACGCGATGGCGATTTAATATTCATTGCGTACAGAAATCGCGCGCAACCGTTCGTCCCAGAGACGCGCGTACCTCGCAAAGAGACTTCGATTCATGAGGAACTCCACCCTATTCGCTCAGTCATCAGGTCTTCGAGTCTTCAATGGTCTTGTTTATTGGGCGCTTCATGATGGATGCGTGATGTTGTTCGCAAATGGCACGGTCGCAGTGGTCTGCGAGACTCGGAGGATGCCAAAGATTTTTTAACCACGAGTGAGCGATCCGCTTTCGAATATGGGCGCAGGAGAGGAATGGCAGTCGACTTCAGAAACCAGAGATTCTCTCCAACATTCTAGATTGAGATGAATGTTGTATGGCACCTAGACCACTCCGGATTTGCGTAGGTACCTCTAAAAGTGTTCTCAGAACGGTGAACTTGCGTTCCCCCATCCACTCACCATTCGAGGTCCCAGACCCAGCGGGGCGAGTAATCTCCGGAAGCCTCTTGCCGACGGATTTCGTAGGTGGATCTGAAGCTCCGCTCCCGGAAAACGATCCTAAAGGACAAACAAGAGAGTATCAAATCTTGCAAGAGGGAGTCAGGGATTAGTCCAAGAGCAAATTATCCGGTTTTGCGCAAAAAGGTGGAAGATATGTATCTAGATCGCCAAACGAATTATTCTCCTTTCGCTTTCCCTTTGCGGAGATCTGAAATTCCCATTGCGGAGCAGTGTATAAGGGAATGCGGAGGAAGTAGGTCGATCGTAGCTGAAAAATCCAGCATTTGGAGGTGGAAAGGTCGAAGTCTGGCGATGCGGATGCTGCAAGGAATGCTCGAGGGACCCTCGGAGCGCTAAACCGACACGAGCGATCAATCTGGGCGGGCCTGCATGCTCCACGGCTCTCTAAGGTGCACCTACCCTGAAGTCACCATCTCTCATCTTGATCTGAATCGTGGAGTCCTTCGGAAGAGTCCCGTCGATTGACACATCTTTCGAAACTGGATAAAAATAACACCCAGACCCGAGCCCCTGCTGTCAATCAAGTTGGAGTGGAAAGGTCTGCAGAGAATCCGAGGGAGACTCGACGGCGGACGGAGCGATCTTCGAGCCGGAAGAATTCCGTTTTCGTTTCTGAAATTTATGCTCTCGCTTTGAGGATGACATCGGGCTCGAGCGAAGCGAAAGAAACTCTCGGCTCCTCGATAGTCGGAGAGTGATCTCGAGGACCACATCAGAATTCTGCCTCGAAGTTTTCGCGGCAGCGATGAATAATAAGCGATCGGCCGGCTCGTCCCTGACGGGAATCTGGTCGCCTCAAACACTTGCCAGCCCTCAGTTTTCTGCTCCTACATCCTGGTCCCCAGGGAGTCCAGGAGTGAGAATATTGCTCATTAGAACTAATTAACTCCGAAACGTCGCGGTGCTCGGAGAGCGAGAGCGGTGGCAAGCGCTCGCACGATTGCGCTGTTCGCGAAAATCAATGCTGCGAGTGAATGGATAAGCATCTTTCCGGAATAACGAAAAATCGTTGGATGACGATTCTCGAATTCAATAATTGAATCTCTGATATTCGAATGGGTGGGTGCGTGGATGCGGTGCTACATATGAGGGAGCGAAGCTCCGGAAGACCTCGCTGATTGTGATAGGAATACTGGCAACACGCTCATTTCAAAATCTGAAGGTTGAATAAGTTGGACGAGTTTCAGCGGATGTTTTTCGGTTTTTGGAAATGCAGGGGAGTCTATGGCTTTCTTCAGCTGTTGAAGTCGTACTCGATTCTTCAATCGGAGTCGGTTTCCCAACGGTACGAGAGTCGCTCCGATCGAACGATCCCCCGAGAATTCAGAATCGTTCGCGGTGTTTGCAACCCTGATGAGATAGGAACATCGGTTTCAGGAGTTTTGGGATGCAGGACCACGTGTGCTCCGCATGTATTTTAACCGGAAACCTACGATTTCCGGTTGAAGAGATCCTCGACAATGGAGTCTCTTAAAATTAACAATGGAAAAGAGCGGAAATATCGGAGGCCTCTCGCAGCATGGGATGGGCCAAGAAGCAACGAGTCCCATGGGCATAATTATCACGGAGAGCGAAGCTACAATCAAAGAGGCAGACCAAGAACGACGACACGCCTAGGAGGCTTCTAAGTGAACAAGTCTGTAGTCGAACTCCACCGCTTCCCTCGGCGGACAGTTTCTTCGTCTACTGCGGCCGTTCCGAATGTGTCTCTCCAGAAATTTCTCTTCGCGCACCGTAGGATGGCTACGAAAAGCCACGTAATCCCTCGACCGGACATAATGTTCTTCAGCCGGATCCACCCTGTCGTACGAAATCCGATAACAGGAATCCCGAGAGAACTCATCCCTCAAGTCGAATCTCGTGAACGAGCTGCTGCGAGTAGAAATCAGGGTGAGCTCAAGGGTATTATTCCGATTTGTTTTCTAGGTTAAAGCGTTGAAGGGATAGAGGAGGACCAAGTGTTGGAGATCTCCCCTTTGATCCCAAATCGATCCATGCAGGAGAATGGGAGGAGCAACCTTAGAAAACATACTTCCGCTTGTCGCAGAAGATCATCGATGCCCTGCATTGTCGACGTGGGTGAGATTTTCGTCTATCCTGAACCATGGGGCTATGAGCTATGATGAAATCTTTTTTGTGGCAGCATTCCAGGAAGACTCTCGCCTTCGTTCCAGGCGAGAGCTGAGAATGGAACCGGTCGGCACAGTCGGCTTCCACGAGCAGACCCGGTCCGACTCGATCACCACCTGGACCCTCCCGTTCCTCGAGTAGCGATTCCGATGTTCAGAGCATACGATCTGAGTGAGTCCGCACTCGCTTAACGGACGACTGATTCTGTTTGCCGAAATTCCACTTGTTCAGGGCCCATTTCGAAACAGGGAACGGCAGCGTATCTCCCCGCGTTTCGAAGAGTCTCTGGACTCGTAGAAATACAGGGAAGACCTTGTCAGTTTGGAGCTTCCACCGTCTTTCCGGCAACCGGAGTGAACTCGGCTTCAATTCCCTGACACCACGGCTTGGGCGTCTCACTGAATGTTCGTTGGCTCTAGGATAAAGAACGTTCCACTGGAGTCGAAATTCAGCTGTTTACCATGGCAACTATGTATCGAGCCCAGAGCTCGGCGTACTCGGATAGACCGCTGCCTTCAGAATAAAGAATGGGCTCCCACCGTTAATGGAAGCTCTGACATTTTACTCTTGTGATTCGTCAGTATCGACCGCCGCATCCGACAATCAGATGCCTGCGGAATCAAGCGCCTCTGGCGTCTTGCTGCGGAGCAATCACGCTCCATGGATCTTAAATTCTTCTTTCCGTCATGAGAGGAATTTTCAATCGCTTACCATATTCGTCAAGAAGTCCCGGATTCATATTTCGTATTCGTGCCAAGTCTCGGGTGGTGGACCCGATTCAAGAAACACTCGGAAGCTCTTCCCGGAGATTGCCCGTCGATTTCCCGAGGAGTGACCATCGGCCGCTCCCCTCCCCTTCGGTAGTTCGAGAGAAGCTGTTTGCAGGAGAATGCCGACTTCTCTGTTGGAACCTCAGAGACATCGACCATAAAAGTTGGAAATTACCTAATCGAAGAGCTTGCTCACGGCTGAGTCCGAGTCAGACTCAGCGATGGACCGAGAGAGCTACGGGCCAGTCCAGCCCAGCTCACGGGGATGGCCCCTCGACCGTTCTGAGAGCCCACCTCCGCTATGGACAACCACAACAGTGAGGTTCATTAGGCGGTGTCTCGACTGCCCGCTCGGTCTGCCGGAACCGTCCGCCGTACAGAGCGACCGGCAAACATAGAGAAGTCAAACTAGATACGCATGCTCCAATGGCTGAGCTCGGCGAGCAACCGAGTAAACACACGCTCCTCTCTCAGGATAGAACGGGCAATGAAGTTCCTCTAGTAGAGCGCTGTTGTTCGCATTCATAGGCTCGCGATTGTCTCGCTGTGAGAGATTCGTTTTGGCTTTCGGGGCCAAGTGAACGCCTAACAAAACGCTCCGCATATATTGCACCCCGTAAGCCGACGCGTGAAGCCAGACGTGAAGGTCTGACGTCTCCTTATTCCGCTTACGAAAACACTCGACGGAGTCTGAGGGAGCAACTACGTACATTGAGCCCAGCTGTGAATCATAGCGGCAGACGCTGGGAGAAAAAGCGGAATCGCCTCGAGGCGTAAACGCGGGAAACGCTCAGCAATCTTTTCGTCCCCTCACAAATTATTGGTCCTTTGGAAACGGGCTTCGGAAGCCTCAAGGCGACTCTCGACGACCGACCGTCCGTCCTTCCGACCGCTCCCAAGTGCCCCCATGCTGCCCAGTCCGAACGAAGTCAAAACTGTGCTGGTGACAGGCGGAGCAGGTTATTTGGCCCTGCACGTGGTTCGAGCCGCCTTGGCGGCCAATCACAAAGTTCGCGCCACCGTGCGAGGATTCGCGAACAGTGATCGCGTCAAGCCCGTCGAGCAGGTCCTTCCGTCGTCGCGTTATCCGATCGAACTGTTCGAGACGGACCTTCTATCGGACCGCGGCTGGGAGCAAGCAATGCAAGGAGTCGATTACGTCCTGCACGTTGCGTCACCGTTTCCATCACTCGGCGAAGTCAGCGATCCTTCGCAGCTCACAAGAACTTCTGTTGAGGGCACTTTGCGAGTTCTGGAATTCGCAAAAAACTCCAAAAGCGTAAAACGTGTCGTCATCACGAGCTCGGCGGGCGCGGTACACGGAAGCGCCCACGGAGACGAGTGCGTTCTCTACGACGAGGACAACTACGCCGATTTTGAGGACCCGACCCTGTCGGCCTTCCACAGGAGCAAAGCGATGGCGGAAGCGAGCGCGTGGAGTTTTTCCGAAACGGAACAGCTGGAGATCTCTGTCCTCTGTCCCTCGTTGATCCTCGGACCGACCCTGAGCGAGCAATTGAGTTCCAGTGTCGATATCGTGCGCTCGATGCTCGAGGGAAGCCCGTTCCTCGTGCCACCGATCGCGTTCGCCATTTGCGACGTTCGCGATGTCGCAGAAGCGCATCTTCGCGCCATGGAAGCACCGGAAGCTGCGAATAAACGCATCATTCTTAATTCGTGCACACTTTGGCTGCACGACATCGCTTCCGTGCTCAGCGATCATTTCGGCCCCCTCGGCTATCGAGTTAATCGCACCAAGATGCCATCTTACCTCAAACCTTTTCTCCCCGTGCTCGGTCAGCAGATGAAAGATCTCAAACCGAAATTGAACAAAATGTTCCGTTTCTCGAACGACCGGATGAAGGACGTTCTGAACTTATAGCCCAGATCGTGTGTTGATACGATAGTGGACACGGCGCGCTCACTGGTGGAGCTGGAAGTCGTCCCGAGAACAAAACGCTGGAATGAGCTCATAGCTCTATCTCAGCCTGAGATTCAGCAGACCCTCCCATCGCTACCGCGGTCGAAAGTAGACGATGCGGACATAAAAACCGGGGGAGAAGAAGAACACGACGGCGAACGGAGACCGGGAGAAGCCTGCGTCTCCACCGCCTCACGACAGAACCAGAGAGCGCAATAAAATTGATTTTTCAATAAACTCTCCACGCCGAATTCAGCACTCGGACGCGTTGTCGCACTGCGTGCTGTAGGAACATGGTCAAGGACAGCGGAATCCCGGGACCCCTTTCGGGCCGCATTTCTCGGTCCAAGGTCTCTGACACGGAGATCGATAGCGAGCTTTGTCCGAATGTTCATTAAATCAATTATTCATCCTAGCGGGTATTCCGCGGATTATTATTGTTATTGTCGCTGTCGACGACGCTGATGTATAAATGTTTGCATCGTAGCTGAGGTTTCATTGTTCTCGGCGACGAGACAGGACGAATTGTTCCGTCCGACTCAAGTTCCACGTTAGTCTGGTCCCGAGGGTGAATTTCCACAACCGACCGGAAACCATATTGTACTCCGTATGTAAGGTCGTCGGGGTCATTAGACTGCTCAGATTTGCTGGCTGTGAAATCACTACTTCCGCGTCGGGACCGCTGAAAAGGTTCCTCCTCGGACTCCGGCCACGCAGAAGCAGAGAGAGAGAGATGGTTTTTGTTTAGCGCAGGGATGCTCCCACTACTCCCCGACTCCCGCAAATCAGAACGACCTCGACCGTCCGGGGCTGGGATCATCTGAGGGCTTGTTCACGCCTCTCGCGATTTTAGGTGAATGACGGAGCCCCTCCCGAGAATTTTATGGTTTTGAATCTCGCCGAAGCCTGTTAGAAGACCTACATACGTTCCTTGACTATAAATCCGCAACGGAGAAAAAGAGTAGAGAGCGCGACCTCCTCCGCTTCTCGGTCATGAAACGGTCGGCGGTAGCAGAATTCTGCGCCCTGTCTGCGAGTCGCAAGTGAAATTCCCCTGGCTACGGGACCTCAGATTGTTCCCACGGTGCGAATTCTTCTTCGTCATACTCCATCATGTCCGCCAGTGCTTTCCGTGTTGGAGCCAGGAACAATCTGCTCTTCACTCAATCACGCTGATTCTCCTCTAGCTTGACTCTGAGCCAGGACTTCAACTTTGAGCTTGGAGCACATAAGCTGTTCGATGTCGGCCCTGACTTCTCTCGTCCGAAATTCCGTTTCCAATTATGAAGTTTCTGCAAACTCGGACGATTGAGATAGATGGTGGACACGTTCCATTGCGATCAAGCTCCTCACAAGACGGAATATCAAGCCACCAAATGAAAATTCTGTACACCATCGACGAGTTGAAGCCCCGAAGCAATTGAGAGTTAGGAACACTGACTGATTTCACCACTTTCCACCCGAACTTGCGAGCTCGGCGGCCTGGTTGAAGGATGGGAATCGTTTGACTCCTTCGTGGTGCATTCAAATCGGTCGAGAAGAAATAAAGTGTAACATATTTATTGCTGGTATTCAACCTTGGCTCCTGCTTTCGGTGAGATCAGGAGCTCCGTCATTCTATTTCGTCGTGAGTACGCGTTGAATTTCCCAACCCGTCGCGCGGCATGAACGCGCTTGTAGGAGCGAGAATCAATAGTCGATCGCTGACGGTGGAATGAAAATCCTAGATCCAGTTGATAAGATCGAGCGAGCTCCGCACGTGACCAATTTCAGATCTTGATACGTGTCGATTTAGCGTCCAACAAATGATAACGATTCCCGGAATGGCGCGCACCCGAGGCGAATCCGCAAGTCTTGTGAGCCTCGAAACCGTTTGCTCCGATGTCTGATCCGACTGCATGAATAAGAAATAGAGCGGGAAGCTTGATGCGAGCTGTTTGCAAGCAGCCGTCTGTGTGTTCCGCAGTTCCGCAAACGTCTGCCTACCGTCTAGTCGCTACGAAAAGTCTGTTTTGTAAGTCTTCGTGCTGTTCCGCGCAATGCGATTCCACTTTTATAAGGCGTGCCTTCACGAAGGAGCCTCGACCCTGCCAGGATACGTCCATTCAAGACATTCCTCTCGAGGAATCTCTTTGCTCCCAACGCTGCACCCGTGACTCGGTATCGACGAATACCTTGGGATCTCGTTGCCTGTATCCTCCCATGCAAGAATTAATGCACATTTACTCATTGTGAAGCCCTGTCCCATCTGTCATCGTCCTAACATTATCACTCCAGTCCTTGACTTTGGTCGCGTCGAGGGAAGTCTCTTTGCTTCGGAGGGGTCGATTGCCTCCATGAATACCTCCTTATCGACATTCGGTGACAAGTCTCCGTACGCATTTCTGAAAGGTATCCTCGATCCCTTCCGGGACACAATCAGTCCCGCAACGATCTGTGGAGCTGAGCTCATACTGGGCATTCACTTTCTGGGCCTTTCGGAACTCGAGGCAGGGGAGGAGATGATAATTAGGATCGATATTTAGCTCAATCTCATTCACTGTGTGATAACAATGAATCTGCATGCTGGGAAAGCTCGTTTCGGTCTCGGCCACTCACCCTATCGGAGGGAGTGCTTCATGAATCTCTGAGTCCAAAAACACGATGCAGAGAGTCAGTCGACTACTCGTTTCGAGCCGGGTTCCAAACCAGCGGTGGCGGTCCGCTTCCTCGTCGCTGCACTCGTAATGAATTTAATACCCTCAGCCCTCAAGCTCTGTATACCCTGCGTCGTGCGGTTCTCGCGCTCGCACTCCATGAATCACATCTCTAAGGAGGATGAAGAAGATCGAGTGAAGAGAAAATGATGTTAATTCAGTTTTCAAAGACTGAGGAACCGTTGATTACGCATGGTGTGGCTTCTAGAGGGTACGCCAAGCTAACGATCGACGCGAGCTTCCGGCATCCGAGCATTCCCCTGTCAGTCATCGATGCTGTCCAGACTAGAGCGGAGGCTGCTTCCTACGGCAGGTGTGATTCGGAACACATTGATTGTGTGAAACCCATGAGGAGTGCGATTGGTCTTATTCGACCCAGAAGATCATTGAGCAATACCGACGTGGTCGAGGCATGATTTTCGGCTCTGACTACTCGTCGCTCCGTCTCGGGAAGAAACGGCGAAAGCCCAGTTAGGAAGACCCATGCGCCGGAATGCGGGTATGTGGGTCTAATAGGAAACCACATCATCATGGGAAACCGCGCCATGCGTGGCCTCCTGTGCTCAAACACTATAGGGAGGCTCATCAATTCTATCGCTGCTCTCGAATCACTGCCATTAAGGCGGAAGGGACTCCTCGAACGGAATCGGTACTGTCTTTGATGACCATGGAATCCGTAGGCAGTAATTTCTACAACGCCGCGACATTGGCGTCTCCTGTATCAGCTGTTTGAATTCCCGCTCAAAAACGCTCCTGCTCAAGTTTCAGGGTGAACACGGTCGGCGTGAGCCTCATCCACCAGTCCCAACGGCAGTCTGCCAGCTCTAATTCTCATTATTCGCGAATATTCACCCGAATCGCTAATAGAGTAATCCTATTCATTTTCGCGACGGGGACTAGACAAGTAATTTTCTCCCACCTGCGACAGCTGGAATTCAATGGGAATCCTCAGAGGCTCTTCTGACGCTCCAGAGCTCCTTCGCTTGTCAAACCTTATCGAGACAGCTCACCATTCTGAACTCGCATGACTTGTCACCGCGGAGTTCCTTCAGGCCTCGGGCCGTCGCGATCTGTGGCTCTATGTCTGGCATCCGGTAGGTGAATGCGGAGGATCATTCTATAGCTCGTCTTCTGCCGCGGTTTCTGGTCGCACCGAGCGAAGGAGTTCCTAGAATTAGTTTCGCGCAGTAGGAATACCATGCGGATCGTCCTGCTTCGTCTTTTCCGAGACTAATCACCCCGCGGACGCGAGCCTCTTCCTTTCTGAGCAAGGAAGGAGTTATTAGAGACGTTCTGAGCTGTGTAGATGTGAGCGTCGTGCGCTCAGGATAGCTAAGGATCCCAAAGCGGGAGTGATGCTGATGAACCTATCGGGGAGGAGAATGTTTTAGGGAGGCGTCCTTCGCTGCAAATCGACGATATTCCTCGAAGGCCTTCCATTCATGCTAAATCATATCCATATCCCTCGGTGAGGGAAGCGGTCTTTCGGAACGGATTCCGTAAGCGTCGGTGTATCACGGAATAAATAAGACATCCTCGAGCGCACTCTATGGAGAGGAGCTCGCTTCCCTAGGAGCGGAGTAGATGAGTTCCCACCTCACGTTCTTTGAGTGCAATAGTCAAAGTGATCTCCCGTGTCCCTCAGGGTATACCCGCTCCTTGAAGCTTCGTTCCGCTCCGAGTCCCTCGAGAACCACATCGGAGCCGTATGAAGGCGAGATGCTGGAGCGTGAAATTCGGGAATGTTCTCGGTGTCCCTGCACGAATGTACACCGAGGATGACGGGAGTAGCGAGCTCAGAGAACAGGCCGCTTCTCGCGGAAAAGGATCCGCGACCGAGGGATCTTTGACAGCTCTTTTGTCGCTACTTGACGTATCCGCCCTCGTCGTTGCTGAATGTGTGCAGTTGATGATTCTCCGTGTCCGAAGTCAATCCCTCCGCCGTTGGCGTTCTCCAACGAGAGTAGTCGAATAGGAGCGAGGCGAGCCAAGTTCCTGTCGATGTCCTCGGGAAGAGTGGTCGATCGGGAGGTAGAGGTAGTGCGGCCCGGAGGAGCTTCCTCTCCCATTTATGTTCAGAGAGGGGAGTCTCACCCAAGGGACTGGCTAGAACTGTCGCCTCTCGAGTCATGGAGCTATTCCTCTTCCAGGGCCTCGAAAATGCTCGGAACTCCCGAATCAGACCTAGGTATCACTTTTGAAAAAGGATCTCCTTGTTTTTTTATTTATCGCTCGTAGATGAACGCCCTTGACATGTTTTCACCTAGATGCAAAGGATTCATAAATGATCGGCTCTTCTTAGCTCCCGGAGGGCGGCGGGACAACTAATCCAGCTCCATGTTTCAATGTCACCGATATTCTGAGTGAGATCCGTCGCCAATAGCGGACTTCATCAACGAGGGAGCGAACAGATTGTTGGTCCGCCATCGAGAAGGCGAGCGTCATGACGGCTAGAGCGACGGGCTCACTGCTCGCCCGCCAAGACCGTCTTGCCGCTCGTTCCCTATGAGCTTCAGAAGATAGGTGAGTTAGCGGGCAAGCTTCACTTCAGTGAAGGCAGGCACGGAGCCAGGCAAGCAAGCTAACGGAGGCAGAAGGAAATGTGCTCGGGAGGAGGGCAATGGAAGCTGGCCGCTTAGATTCAGCGGTCTCGCGGCGTCGAGCGACGTAGCACTTCCCCTCGAGTGGGATCCTCTCCCGTCACTTGCCACCACGTAAAGCCCCGATTCCCACCGCTCCTCAGTCGGCTGGAGGCACGCAGCGGTTGCAGTAGCGGCAGCAGCAGCTGAAGGGCGCGCCAATGTGTCTCTACATCCCCTGAACCATCTCGCCCTTGAAACAAAGCGCTTCCCGGCGCATCTACACACAAGTCCCGCCGCGATTTGGCGCGTGGTGTTCCATTGTTGTTGTTGTCGTCGTCAGCAGCAGCGCTGGTGGCGTCGCCTCGAGCGATAGCGCCTTCGGCTCGGATCTTTACTCATTGTTGTCCTTGTTGTCGTTGTTGTTGTTGTTGCTGCTGCTGCTGTTGTCACACTTGTGCGAGGTTTGAAGAGCTGTCATCGAGCCTTTCAGAGGGATTCGGCGACGCATCCCGCCGGACCCCGGTCTCTGGAAGCACGGTGGCCTAATTCAGAGAGCATTCGGAGCAAACGTGAAAGCTCGCTGCTGGCAAGCGACGATTCGGAGGAAGATCAAGACGACGACGACGGCGACAACAACAATAACAACAATAGCCGTGGGAATAAGGAAAAACCGTTGTCGAGGTCGAGCACAGCAGCAGCAGCAACAACGGAAAGATCTTCCGTTCCGGCTCGAGATCCCCCACGCCTCCGACAAGACGATCCGCGACGAAGACGACGACGACTCAGTGAGGAACAGCGACCAACACGAACATCGTCTACTGTGGTGCAAAACGATCGCTGATTTCCGTCGACCCTCCCCGAACTCCCCTCCTCAGTGATGTAGTGGTTTCTCGCCGAGCGACTGCTCGCATATTTTGTGTGTTGAAGAGTGAAGTGCGCGACTGACGAATAAGAGTGACAACTGACCACAAACTGGAAACTAATTCTCGTGCTCCCTCGTGGGGAGGAGGGGGAGGGGGAGGACAGCAGGGAAGGACGGCATTTCTCGATCTAAGCAGCTGATCGGTCCTCCTATTCATGCATCGTATCGGTCCGATATCGGACTCGACCTGGATGATGGAACCGCAAGTGGAATCTATGATAACGAAGGTCGATTCTGTCACGCACTACGCGCACCTGAAAGCTCGACCTTGGCAACAATACGTGCTACTCGTGAGATGTCTGAATCGACAAGATCGTCCTAAGCAACAACGAAGACAACCGCGACAATCACGTCTGATATCCCCAATAGCGTCACAGCGACGCCAGCACCAACTTTGAGCGATGCATTGAGATATCCTTTGCAATAAGCCTACGCCTCCCACATTTTATCTCCACAAGCAAACCCACCGCAGCATCGGCAGCCCGAAGTCAAGTTCAGCAGCACATAACGGGAAACTATAAGCACTGAGGAAAGAACGGTGGCAGCACAAGAGGAGCTACAGGAGTGTTAGCAAGAACAGACGCATAGCTGAGAAGCACTGAATAATCTCCCGACGACCTGGAGCATTCCCGGAGCGGAGAAAACGACTGAGCTCGATTTCTCTCATACTTCCGAATAAGCTTTCTCAATCACGCAATACAATCATCAATGAGGATATTATTCGATCGAGCAATTTAATCGATTCAGCCAATTTTTCTCGATCAGCGAGCCTCGATGAGACGGCCACAACGAGCAGCAACGATAACAACAACGGTACGAGCCAGATGGGGATCGAGGTCAATCGCAACAAACAGCGGGGAATCTTTTCAATGCTGGTCATTCCAAACTGCCCACACTCATCCTTCGAGTGCTCTTCCGTGAATTTGGAAAAAGACTGTACACGCCGTCAGTGAGTTCTGTTAGGTGATTGACAGTTTCTGTTCATCATCGTCGTGCAAACAATATCAGCTCACAACTCATAAGCGTCGTAAGGGACAGCACCAAACGGCGACCAACACAACAAAACTGACACTGATAACAAGCATCTTCCGGGAGTCGTTGATCAACACGCTATACACGTTGACCACGTTCACTTACGCGTCTTGTCCCACGAGCATCATGTCAATGAGTGTCAGAAGAGTGCGGAGCTCCTTCAGGGGCTCACTCCGCAGATACACCAGCGGAGAATCGATGAGAAAACCTCGACGCCACTTCCAATGGATATATCGAGATAACGAGTGGCGCATCGCCTACGGTAAGTCCCGATTTTTGTTTACCTAGCGATTGCTCATCCGCCAGCTCCTGTATCCGGTTATCTGTATCGCCCCGAATCCCGGAGCGGGTACGTCACTAGAGAATGTCCGCCAGGTAGCAAAGAATAAGTGAACAAGTGGATCATGATATTGGAAACACAGAGAGATTTTGGACTCCAAATAAAATTATAGACATTAGGCTTCGACATCCACGATATAGAGTTTCTTTGAAGGAGTCGTCATCCCATGAACGAGTCTTGACGGGAATCATGGGCGAAAAATAAATGAAAGAATGGGATCGCTCGACTCAGTCCGGAGTGCCCGGTCTATGACTTATCCCATATTCTCATACCTTCCGCTGATTTCACCGGCAGGAGTCTCCGATATGGCCTGGACCTCCGGTCAATACCTTCGCAGGTATTGTGAGGGAGATCCGGGCTCTTTCAACATTTTGCGCCGTCTCCCATGCATGTCGACGGTGACGCCCGCGAGAGCTCCTTGTGGTCGCTCTCGGGGAGACGGCATTCCGAGTGAGGCGGTATCGAGATAGATAAATAGAGAGAGATTTGTTCCACTGACTTCGTCGACTTTCCGCAGCCGCCTCGATCACTCACAGCGCCAGCGATATCCGCTCCGCTGAAGCAGCCCGCCAGCCAGCCAGCCCGCCTGCTCGGTCGTTCGTACGCCTACCGAGCCGACTTGCCCATTGGTGGGCCGGTCGTGGGCTCACTCGTTATTTCGGCGCCTCGGCCCCCGCTTGTCGATGCCTTCCATCGCTCGTGCTTGTTCCTTGGATCCGACCGCTTGCCAGCGGGCTCCCAGGTCCTTCTGATCCCCGGAACCCCTCTCCCGGAACGAGGGTGGGTCCTGATAGGGCAGGACGCAGGACCTACAGCGACTTTCGTATAGAGAGAACCCGGAGAGAAATCGCCAGTCTCACTGTTCGTCTACAACTTGTCATCTCAAAGGCAACGCCTGCTGGCGAGACTTGCGCCTTGCGAGCACCAAAGCTCCGTCTGGTCATTCGTTCCTGGCTTCCTTCCTTCCTTTTAAGGCATTCATGTATTGCACACTTATGGCCAGTAGCGGCATCAGCCACGGCGGCTTGAACACTCCAGGCGACACTCGCTCTGCAATGCCTTGCTGTATCAGGTTACACAATTTGCAACAATTTGTCATTAGTAGACGACCGAGCGGCCAAATGAGCAAGTGGAAGGAAACTTCGGACGAAAGCTAGCGAGGCGTTGGAGCGAAGCTGAGGATGAGAAAATTCCATTAGCTGCCAATCGGGACGTGGTAGTGTATCGGGCCGATCCGGGGTCGTACATACGTACGTCCCCTTTCGCTCTCATCCATATTCCGTTATGGTGAAAGTTATGAAGCTTATCCACATACTGCGTCACCGTTTCTCTAGTTTAGCAGAATGACAGGGAAATATCCGGTGGAATGACTTCTCGCGTGGCGTTTGTGGGTAACTTCCGTCGAAAAGTAGCCGCCATCGGAGTTCTCGTCATGGAAAATAAAACGGACGGACACGGAACGAATGGAGGTGAAAAAGCCAGACGGGAGAGTGTCGTTAAAAGCTCACTTGGCAAATGTGCGCTTTACATCGGCAAGTAGCGCCAGCTGTCAAAGACTTTGGGAGGAGGAAAGGTCAAAAAGTCGAATGGTTAATGGCGGAAAACGGTCCATCTGGCGGCGCCGGCGGTGAGTCGTCCGTAAAAGGGAGCGGGAGCCTGCGATCGAGGGAGCTGCTCCGAGAACATGGAAAGGTTGAGAACTCGAAATTGTCCAGTCAGTCGATTCGACCGTTGCGAGCTGATTGTCTTTTTTCGGTGGCTTTCCACCCACCGGCTCGCTGAGCTAGGACTCGAAACTAACTTATTGTTTCGGCTTATGAAAACTCGTCCGCTCGCCAGGTGGGCATCCCACAGCGGCCGCTGCTGCCTTCACCAGCCAGTTGGTGGGGTGAAGCTTTCTACAGTAACCCACGATGGAATGAATTCTCCTCTGTTTTATTGAGCCATGATATGGAAGGAAGAATTGCTCCCGCAGAAGAGTATTTTGCTTCACCGCTGATCGCACGCACCGACATATTCTATCCAGGACCTCGGGGAAATTGTCACCGCTAGAATTCTACATACAAACGCTTGCGATGAGTGCCGTCAGCGGGCCCTCAGATTGACTCATGCGTGAACGCAGGATTGGCCTGAGGTTTGTGCGCTGCGGCATTCTGGGCCTTGAATTCACTCCGGAGTCCAAAATGTTCCTACAAGCCTTTGTACCTTTTCTTCTTCCCGTTCTTGAGGCTCGATTATTCGACAGAGACGAGCAACTCCGCGACGGAACCTTCGAGAGTCCCTGGATGTTATTGTTCCGCACCTTGAATCGAACTCAGAAGATCAAGCGAGGCACGGATGCGGGAAGAAGAAAAACGGCTGGCCGATAGGGGAGCCCGCTGGTCGGTGGATTGGCCCGATTGATAGGTATGTCACAAGTCAAAGCCTGAACCTTGCGGGCGAATGTCATCTCAAAACTCCGAAATGACGCCTGAAAATTGCTCGCCGAAAGAATTTGTGCCCCCGATCCATGCTCTCAGGGGTAAATCGATTGGGTGGCCGTTGAGTCCCGCTCAGAACTTTCTGTTTTCTACTGGCGAGACCCGCGGCCGAATTCTCGGCACATCTCGACAGTCGATACCGTCCACGTTTTCATCCGCGGCTCACTTCGTCGGTTTCTCTCCTCTTATATTCGTTGAGCTCCGCAATCAGGTCCTCCACCCCAGCCTTGATGTTGCTGGCGGCTCGCCAAGCCAGACCAAGTTTGAGGTACCCATAGAGAGGCAATACCTTTTTCGAAGCCCGCCTCTATGAAGTCGATGACCTTCATCGGACATGGATGGCATTCAGTGGTTGGAAAATCATCGTAGACGCTCCCACGAAATCACGACTGCAATTATCATATCCGGAGGAATGTTGAATCGCTATTATTCAACTCCCGCGGCACAGTCTTGAATTACTCAAGGGAGTGCGTGCCCACTCGCCGTTCCGACAGAGTTTTCCGCAGTGCTTCTGCCATCATTCCCCGTTCGGATATTCAGTTGTTCTCACGCAAGCACCGCGGTGCTAAGAGCACGTCGCTCGTAAAATACCTGCGCTCTATATTCGGACAGGTTGCGTCGTCGGCGGCGGTGTCGGACATTCCATTATTATGGGCCACAGAACGAAGCCCCTACGTCGTTCGACTTCATCAATGTTGCTCCGACCACAGCTTTCCCCATTTTCTGCTCCGATGGGAGTGCAGGGAAACATTCGGGAGCTGTGCGACGCGCTCAAGGTCTAAGTCGCGCATCCAGGCTATTCCTTCGGCTTGACGTGGGAAGGGGCTCTCCCGCATTAGGACTCGAGCGTGCACAAGAGCCACACGTATGAAGAACAGTGTAAGTTGAGCAACGTTCGGTGCGGCACCTCGGGCCTCTCTACCCAGGATTCGTTTGCCCCCAGGAGACGTTGCACGAGCTGATCTCACACGTCGACTTCTTCCCTCTGTGCCATTGATCAGATTGATTCTGATGTAGGGGGAAAAGTTCATCAGGGGAATCATTTCCCTCCATAGAAGGGATAGCCGAGAGCCAGAGCGGATCCCGCATCTCGGACCGCTGAGCGGCTCGTCGTCCCTCAGAATCGATAAGCGATTTTTGAATGCGTGCTGTCGCAGGCATTCCGATGCAAAAGTTCGTCGCTCGTGCGTGGGATAGCTTCTCGGAGGGTCGGAGTCGACAGAAACAATTCACCATGTCTGCCACAGACGAGCTTCGTGAATAATCGACCCGCGCGAGGGAAGGAATGGCAGATATCTCCTATCGATGGTAATGGCCGCGATCACGTCGCTCGCCCGAACTATCGCGCTTCCTTCGCAAATCAGGGAGCGAGTTCATTCGTAGGCTCCGACGACCTTAGATGCAACGAGAAGACTATTTGTCGTGCTGATAACGTGCTTGGATTCGATTTGTGACGGACCGCGCATCATGGCCAAATTGCAGCGGTGGAACGTTACTTGGGCATCAACGCTCCAATGCTTGAGTGTCGGCCTTCGGCAGAAACCTAGATGCATCTTTAGTGACGGTCACGATCTACCTCAGCTCCGCATATCACGGCCTTTCACGGGTATTGTGTCCGCCTCCACAGGCCGGTTATCTCGAGCCTCGCCGACCCTGTCCGACGCCGTCGTTGCCGCTATTCTCCGGTCGCTTGTTATCAGCGGAGCGACATTAGTTAGGAAATTCTTACACGCGTGAACGAGCCAGAGGTGATGCTGGGGCTGATGATGGCACTGTCGCCGTGGTCGCTCTCTTGTTTATGCGAGTTTTTACCGCAGTCTCTCTCGTAAGCGTGGGCTTTCAGCCGCTTACGCGCAAGAAAGGAAGAACTCCCGTTCCTTCCTTCCTTCCCTCCTTCCTTCCTCAATATCCGTACCAACACTGAAGTGCAATCGCGCTCCGCTCGGACTTCTCGTCCGGCGAACTTAGTTCAACCACGTTTTGAGCGGCCAGCAATGCGGTGGTTGTTTCCCCTTCGAGACCCGATGGTATTGTGGTTCGCAGATGATGCGTGCTCCCTCCAGAGAAGAGGTTGCTCTCTCAATCGATCTGGTAGCATTCGCTTCCGGGATTTGCCCTCCCTTAGAGGTGAGGAGCCTGGAAACGACATCGTTCTAATCCTCGCCGTCCCAATCCGGGCGGCTCACTAAGGAGACGATGGAGACTGCGGGAGACAAGCTCCAGCGTCAAAGGAGTCGTTCATTAGCCCTCTACGCATCCACCGGTTTTCAGATGACTCCTCGCTGTAAACGCTCCGGAGTCGCAGAGTATGGCAGTCGGATGACTTCTGTCCTCGAAAACAAGGCAATCATCATAAGGCAGTCATATTGTTCATATTCCACCCGGGGAACGGGTACGTCCGTACGAATGACGCTCTGGAGGACCTAACGCATATATGATTAT